GGAGCTACATAATTGTACCCAGTTGGCTGATCCTGGATTCTGATATCTTGAACGATCTTGTTCGTGTCCAGGTCGGTCGTGACTCTACGAACCACATGGTCCCATTGAGGGCCCTTTTGTGGACATTGAACGTAGTGTCTGACCTTTTTGTCAACGCGTGTACACACACTGAGGTGTACCGCACTCCGCTCATTCCTGATCATGTTGGCTTTATCGAGTTGATCAAGGAAGCGTGCAATAATAATAGCCAAAGTTTTATACCGAAACTCGGCACGTTGCTGATCTTGGCCATACCAATCCAAATCATGCTCCCTGTGTGATCCACAAGTACATTTCCATAAGTTTATCGGTATATGAGGACAAGATGTAGCAACTTGTATATAAGAACCACTGGGATGTTTACTGGATCGGTCAAACTTAATACCGAAATGACAGAGTCTGATTCGTATAACGCTTAGCTTCAAATCTTCGATAACATCTTTGATCGGACCCTGTTTCCAGAAATACCCGGGTGGCCCCAGGATAACTATCTGCATTCTCAGAGCACGCGCTTTGATCAGGAGATTTTGTATACGTTGATAATGTGGTCCCGCCCTCTTTCCTGGTGTACGCACGTACCAATCAGAGGGTGTGGCCACCCACAACATATTGTAGTCTCCTGCCAACAAATTTCCCAAATACTGTGTTCCAGTTGAAGTCATTACCTCATTATGGGTAATCCGGTCGCATATATAACCACGGGTTCGGAGTTCAGCGCAAGCTGTGCGAATATCTTCGATGACGAGGCATTTTGAATGATATTTTTCTCTCGGGCCTCAGCGCGGCCAACGTATGTCGCGAGGAGGCCGGTATTCGGCTTCTCTTCGCAAGCGAGCGCCGCCGGCGCGCCCGCCTGCCCCCGTCAGAGGGGCATGCTGTTAGCGGATGACTCCGCAGGTGTCACTGGTGCGGCTGCGCTCACGATCTCCACGCGGGTTGGCCCCGCAAGGTCCGTCGAACCTCCGCCCGTGCAGCTTGGTGGTGGTGGCGGTGTCGCGGGTGGCCCCGCTTGGTTCTCAGGCGACCAATTATTCACCGCCTCCTGGACTGCCCAGAAAATCTTAGACTTCAGGGCATCCTTCATGTGTGGCCAGGTCCCTTCAGGACACTGTTGGCCTTTCCACCAGCTGTCGAGCGTCCTGTCTACGATCGCACGGGTCGTGTCCTTCAGGAGCTGCTTGTCGAGATACGGCTCGACAATGAACGTATCAGTCGTAACGGTCATAGACTGTCCCATCGCGGGTTGCCCCGCTGTTACCCCAGCGGGTGACCCCGCACCTACACCGGCGGGTGGCCCCGCATTGACGGAGTCCTCGTCGTTCTCCGTCTCGGTGTAGCCATCACGACTACTGCGGATTGTGAAGGTGTTGGTGACCGTCTGGCTTTTAGCCCCGTCATACAACCCGCAGGGAATGGCTAGGTGTCCTGAGGGGGTCTTCTTCGCCCTCAGGACCTTGGCGCCCTTCCCCAGCTTAAGAGTATATCTCCGCTGGGGAAGATAACCTTCTGGAAGCCTGGCTTTAGCACGATAATTGTGTCACGTGCTTCCATGGCACTCAGGCCCCAGATGGCTGGGAGGTTTGCACCTGAGCCCTCTGCGATGTTGGAAGCATACTCCTCGATGCGGGGGCTTGCCTCATTGGCGTATTGCACCCCGATCTTGAAGTTGCCCATTTTCCGACAGATCGCAGCACCCTCACCGACACCGTTGATGTAGAGGGTTTTGCTCAGTGTGCATATGGCCGGTCTGTGATTGTACCTGCCATAACCTCCTGGAAGGTTCGTGCTGTATTAGCTCCGATGATGTTCACGTTGGAGCCAATGTCTAGCATGAACGATATGCAGGGCATTCCGTCTTCGTCGGGGAAGAATGAATGTTCCTGTCCGCGCCGCCAGAGCCATCGTACCATGGTCATCAGTATGGTACGTAATCTGTGAACCGAGCGTGCCTTTCAGTAGGCGTTGTTCCAGCACCCACTGGCTCATTGTTAGCTCGGTGCACCATATTTGCTCATATTGGCGGCGCTCCTCCACGGCAATTGGTTCCTGTTCAAGAACCCAATAATTCGCAGAGAGTGTGGAGGTCCACTCACCTCCTGGCGGAAGCGTATCCGTGACGTCACGTGTGTAGGTCAGCCCTTCCGTGTTGATCATGAAGGTATTGTGGAATTGGGCTGCCTCCGCGCTTTCAGCACTGGCCCGGATTCTAGCGCTTACCGGGCTCTCTACACGTGAGGTTCTGGATCCGCCTCCGCTCCTGCCACTCCGCCTAATATTGGCCTCCATTGCCCTCAGAAATCCCGGATTCGGAGGTCCATTTGCGGGTGACCCCGCTTTGGCGGCAGGAGTCGCTTCGGCGGGTGGCCCCGCTGCTGGGGGCCCCTGTGCTCGAAGCGTAGACAGGATCGGCATCTGGATGCCTTGCTCTGGCGCTGCGGCTCGAGCCTCTAGCGCCTCCACTGCTTCCCGCAGCCGACGCAGTTCCCGAGCATCCACCACGTATCTTTCCTGCTGGCGCGCCTGTTCCGACTCAGCGTCGCGCTGTCCAGCATGCGGAAAATGCGCTGTGATTATGCCCGGCCCACGACATACAGCGCAGGGTGCCTCGTTTGGCGCACCTGGCCGCTGATTGCTGACGTGCTGCTGTGCAACACGATCCCAGCATATATCGTGGAAGAAGTGCCCGCACGCCAGTCTCCACACCGTGGTGCCCATCTCGTAGGGGTCCATACAGATTGGGCACTGTGTGAAATTGTAGTCTGAAATGACTGGAGTAGGCACGTCGGGGCGAGTCCGAGCCTGACGCTCGAAGGTCGTTTCGCCCTCCCGATATGGCGTCGGTGGTGGCGGTCTATCTGTCTGTTCAGCGGGTGGCCCCGCGCCTGCGGGTGTCCCCGCTTGGTTGTCACGCTCGATCCTTCTCTGGATCGCGCGCTGTTGGCGCAGCCTAGCGTTGTCCCGAGCCTGCTGCCTAGATGCCAGTATCGCTTGCTGCGTGTTGTGCACGTCGCGAATATAGTCTGGCATACTGCCCAGAGCGGCTGGCACCGCGAGACCAGCTGGCTGAACTACGGTCTCGGGGTCCGTCGGCGTGGGCATATAGGCGTAGTGCGGCAAAGACTGCGCATCGACTGCTCGTGTAAACTGCAAACGATACATCTCATTGGCCAGATTTCGAGTGTATTCGTTCGCAGGTGGCCCCGCAATCATAGGAGTGTTATTTACTTGCGCGTAGTACTCCGGGTACATCGGCGCATCCATGGCCGGTGCCTCTGCTGGTCCATGATTGTCCCATCCATATATTGGGTGTGATGCTATTCCTGGAATAAACACCTGCCGATATGGATTCGTGGGATCAGCATTCGGAGCATCATCAGAAGTCCAGCTCCACAGAGGCCGAAAGTCGCCATGATTCGTAACATCTATGTTGCGGTTCCGCAACAGGCTGGGCACTCTATCAGCTTGTTGATGTAAAAAGGTAGCTTGTGCCCTCAAAGTGGCCGCCCTCCGTTCATAGTCTGCGCCCTGCTGACTGTCAGCGGGTGGCCCCGCGTGTGCGGATGACTCCGCAGGCGTTCGCTCGGCGGGTGACCCCGCAGCCACTCCTCCTTCACTACCCCTCGGAGTGCCGAAGGGAGTGGTCGCCCGGAGTGCCGCTGCGAGCGTCGGATTCCCGCGAATCGCCTGGAGTCGTTGCCACAAACTGTTTTCGCTCGTTTCGGGCGGCGGAGTCCGATACGGCGAGCCACCATCTGATCCGCTCATGGGGACAAACCTCGCGCCTCCAGCTTGCTGCGGAGGGCGTTGTGGTTGTGTCCCTAGGATGCCGGGTGGCCCCGCAGGAGGGCGCAGGTTCCTCTGCTGTGCATCTTGGATACCTGCGTGAACCGCCCACGGGTCAGCTCTATATAGCTGATCAGTCAGCCCAGAGACGTCAGCTGATGTCAAATGGCTGTTGAGAGCGTGGACCCAAGACTGCTGGTCCTGCCGCCACGGGGATGCTACCGTCGCCACCGGTGTGACTACTTGTTGCCACGACCCGTCCGAGGTGTCTACTGCGGGTGTCCCCGCACCTGCGGGTGGCCCCGCACCTGCGGGTGGCCCCGCTTCAGGCATGGCCTCGTCCTCCTGGGCATTCATCATGAGGACTGTCTGTGTCTCAAACGGTCGTGGAGCAATATCTTGCTCGGTCATGACCAAGTTGAATGGACGACCGTCCGTCTTAGTCCAGCCCTTGAGGTACATAGCATGATCTTCCATTACACCTACAGTTTTATCACACATTTTGAGTGGCAGGTAGTCATCAGTGCGAATCCTGTCCGCGGGTTGGCCCCGCTTCCGCGTCTTGTCATAGAACAGCGGATTGCTCCAGGCTTCGCCGACCCGATACTTCGCAATGCTCACGATCTGCATGATGTGATCGGGCGGTATACGTCCGTCGTGGCCCCTTGTCATGACTATGTCATTTGCTGATCTCCATAGAGAGAAGCCACTGGACAGCATCTTGTTGATGCTGCAGAATATGAGCACCTCCGAGTCAGGACGGATGCCCGATTGTATCCTCGGGTCGCCCGGGAGGTAGGGGCAGCCATGCACAAATTGGCGCCCCCCCTTCCTCTTCGGGTTGTCCTGTGCGAGGCATGACAGGCCATTAGCAAGAATGTCCTTGACATACTCCCACTGCATACCGTGGATGAAATATACTGGGTCGTCTGGTTCTTTCATCCATGTTGTGATCGGCTTGTACAGCGACTCGGGACAGTGGATGCCTGGACTGCTGTGGCCGTTCGTGGCTCTGATGAAGTACTGTGGCCTGCGTGCCGTTGGTCGAAACCTGGGAGACAGCAGCATACTGTCATCAACGCACTTCATCTGGAGCCTGCCCTTCTGCATGCCGTGATGGTCAACCATCTCACAGCAGTTTAGCAGCACCCAATACACGAATGACGTGTGTGGCCTGCCTTTGATCAGCACCTCGTGCATTTCACGATAGTGCTTATACTGATCATTTTCAGTCCAGTTTGTCAGCAGATCATCAACGACAACCCAGCCGTCGTTTGGATCAAAAGTGCTGACCTTTTCGAAGTATCGATTATGTTTGTCCTTGTAATATGGACTGTGGCGTAGAGCCGTTGAAAACCACATCGACACCTTGGTCATCTGCTCGTTACTCGGCAAGGTTGGATCCATGCCGTTCTGTGTCATGACCTTCAGGAGTGCTTCTTTATGCTGCGCAGCGCGTAGTGGCGGCCTGTCTCGCAGCATGTTTCCCACTTTCTGCTGTTCGCGCTCCCAGTCGTTGTGGCACTTGAAATTACGACGAACCGGACAATTAATGACTTCATATCGGTCCGTGTCGTCTGGAGTGACTCGTGGGTTGATGGGCTGCCTCGGGCCTTTGTCTACAATGCCTTGCCAAAACAACTTGCATTCCAAAGGAATGACCCTCAGAACAGACATTATTGGCTGCCCGCTTGCGGGTGACCCCGCTAGTGCAGCCGGCGGCGCTTTGGCGGGTGACCCCGCTAATGCAGCTGGCGCCGCTTTAACGGGTGGCCCTGCAGAACCTGCGGCTGACGGGGCAGCTCCTGCAGATGACTCCGCGCCAGGGTTCTGGCGACCTTTGTCAGCAGCTGCATCATCAGTCAGTTTCTGTTGGTCGCCAAACTCTTTGAGGACTCTGAAGCGTTCTACTCTGGAGAGAGTGCCTTCTGCGGGTGTCCCCGCTGTTACGGCTGGCGCCGCTTTAGCGGGTGGCCCCGCAGAGCCCTTGTCCTCCTTAGCCTTGGCGGCTGCTTCTGCCCGCACCGACCTCATCCCAGCTTCGGGCTTCGGCTGTGCTGTCATTCGTGCCGAACCTGGTCGTGGTGCAAGGCGCGGCTGATGCAGAGTTGGAGTCCAGTCACCTCGGAAAGCTGCCTTAGGCTTGTCGCGAGCTTCGTCCTTGACATCGCCTTGGGTCGCCGGCGGCATCGGGGTCGATGGTCCAGCAAAAGCCTTCTTCCTCTCTGTCACGGACGGACCGGGAGGAGCTGCCGGCTTAGGATCGTCCGTCTTGGCAGTCCCTCTGGCCTTCGCCCGCTCACGGGTGCCTTCGGGGCTCTTGGACGGTTGCCTTTTCGCAGGAGTCGGTGAGGACGAGGAGTCGGCTTTAGGTCTCGGCGGTGGTCTGCTGCTCTTGCCTGGTCGTGGACCAGGAGGGTCTCTAGGAGGGCCTTCTGGCTGGCCATGATCATGGATGACCTGCCTCATCTGGTCGATGTCGGCAGTACCCTTTATGGCCAGCTTGTACTTGCCATTCTCGTGGCGGTAGAGTACCCTCGAGCAGAACCACTTCTGCGCCGAAGAACTGTAGTACCAGCAGGCGCTTCCGTCAGGGAATGGATTCTCTGAGCCGTCTTCCGCCGCCCACTCTTCATGTAGCTCGGTGCGGTCAGTGCCGGCGGCGGACCCGGCAGCAGAGACAACGTCTATCCACTCGTCCGCAGATCCAGCGGCTGGTGCTGCTTCTGCGGGTGACCCCGCTTCCTTGCTGGATTCTGCAGGTGACACCGCTTCCTTACTGGATTCTGCGGGTGACCCCGCTTCCTTATGGAATCGGCGGTTCCATTCCTTGAGGCGGTGGTCATTGGGAAGCTTTGCCCAATTTTCCTTGACGGTGTTGGCCACCTCTTCGGTCATAGGGACGCGATCGGCCTCTGTGATACGCTTTCCTCCTCCAGGAACCTCTTTGTTCGGATCATGGACGTTGCCCGCGTCGTCTCCATGAGACCAATTCCACGGGGTCTCTCCATGGTGAGGGCTCCTGGAGGGGCGGTCCATCGGACACCTGCGCATGTGGCCTTTAAAGGGATCACACTGACATACTTGCTTTCTGTACGTTTTGCGGTCAGTGATGATCTCCTGCTTCTTCGCCCTTTTGTCCCAGGCCTCTGGCGTCTTGGTCTTGCCGCCCTTGGTACGGATTATCGCGCCAGTCTCGTCCCTTTTGGTACAGTATTCCTTAGAATACCAGTGCCGAAGAGTATCCATAGAGTAGCCGGGGTACCATCTGATGTACCAATCCGGCACCTGCTGAGCAGATACTCCTACGGAGTGCTCAGTGCTGTATGGATAGCCCGATTCATCATGCGTAGGGCGTCTAGGAGCTGAGCGGCTCCTTCCGCGGGCTGGCCCCGCTGACGCACTACCACGTGTCACTGGCCTTTGATCGTCATGCTCTGAGTCTCGGGGAGGCGACGGTCGCCTGTCCCTCTTGGCGTACCGCATGTCCACCGAGTCCTCTGAGCTGTCCTGGACCATGAACACGTTTTGATACGGGCTTCTGAAGTATCCGATGTCATTTAACTGCTCCATCGAGAGGTCGTTAATGTTCATTTGATCGCAACCTTGCATGAATACATCCATATACCAAGCGGGTGGCCCCGCTGTTGTGTCTAGCATCTCTTCGGCGGGTGACCCCGCTAGAGCTTGGAGTGCTGTAAGCATCTGAGATGCTGACATGTTCGAATCCAAGTATGGACGTAGACGGGCAACTCCTGGGTGCGACAGCAGTTCGATCATCGTCATCTGCTGCTGTGCTGGCGCACTCAAGAGTCGGATTGCTTCTGAAACCTGCTCCTGGAGCATGTCGTTATAATCTTCTTCGGATTCTTCGGAGTCGGAATCCGCGGGATGGCCCCGCATTTCGTCATCGGCGTCTCCCATCTCCGAGCCAGCCCACGACGGATTTGGCAGCAACGACATGCCAATCACTTGTGGGGCCAGCGCGGCGGTGAGTTCTTCCTCTGTTGCCGGGACAGTCTCGGCTTCGGAGACCTCGTCACCGGCGGGTGGCCCCGCTGGAAGACCGAACCAAGCATTGTACGCAATCTCATCGACCTCGTCCCAGCCGTGGAACTCGTCGAAGAGGGTCACTGCGTAGTCTTCCAGGGCTACGGTCACTTCAGCGTAGCGGGCCATCACGTAGTACGTGGAGGAGCCCGCGGCGGGAGCCGCTTCTGGATTGACGTAAAACTCGTAGTCAATGTAGTCTATGTCATCCATAAAGAATTTTGAGCCAAATGTACGGATCCCTTTCCTTTCCCTTTCGGGCATTGATCGCGCAAGTGCTCTGTGCTGCCGCATGTATGACACTTCATAGTATTGCCAGAAGCGTCCCTAGGGTTGCCCCTCCGCCCTTTTCCCTTACCGGAGGTCCGCCTGTGACCCCGACCTTTGCCTCCGATAAGAACTTCCTCAAAGACTATATCAGTTAAGGACGTGAGGAAAGCAGTAATACCCCTACCATGCATACGGCGTCTGCGACCCCCTTTACCACGACCCTTTCCAAATTGTTTGAAATGTCGGCGTACTGCACGTCTCACCTTTCTGACTGGTTTCTTCATAAAGCGCCTCCAACGGCGTTTTGATTTGCGATAAGCCATAAAGGCGGCTTCCGCCCTTTGCTGTTCAGAAAGGTGAGTGTCATCCGCTGGATAGTCATTACCAGCAGAGACTATTCCATTGTGCTCATCGTCAGATGAAGTATCTGTGTCAGTGCCAGATTCAAACGGTGAGGGTGGCTGAGACCATTGAGCGGATGACTCCGCTTGGCCCCAGAGGGTTGTGCCCGAGGGCGGGCTTGCAGTGTAGGCGGCGCCTGGCGAGTAGTTCGACCAGGCGTTTGCCTCAGCTGCCTCTGCCGATACCTGGCCGGTCTGCCCTAGAAGGGCAGTGGCCTCGCTGGGCATATCGGCTGGGTCAGCCCAGGGATTTGGCTCGCCAGGACCAGCGGGTGACCCCGCAGTCGTGGCGTAACACCTGCATGTGAGTGGTGCCCTGTGAAGATACCCGCTATGTTGCCAGGAGAGCGCTCGGCAACATGTCCGTAGTTCCTCATCCTGGTCAGCAGCCTGTCATAGTCTGCTTGTGTTCGGGGCATCTGATGATTGAAGGGCTCAAGCAGGTGTTGGGCTCGTGACGCGCCAACGCCTAACGCTCTGAAGAGAATCAGCGTTAGGATCTGAAAGTTGGGGATGACAAAGCCAACAGAGTTAGCCTCGTCACGGGCCATCTCGAATCGAGCTAATACTGAGTCGATTCGCTCGCCCCTTTCGACGCGGAAGTCGATAAGGGCCGTGCCAGAGTTGAGCTGGCGCTCATCTTCCAGATTTTCAAATTTGGTGCTCAGTAAGTACAGTATGTAGGTTACTGCATCCGTTGGCTGTCCATTGACAGTTGCACCATAATTGATGATCTGGGAGGGGGCCTGCATGGCGATACGACGAGCTAGACCTTGAAGGCCTCGTTGTAGTGCTGCAGCTTGTTGTGGCGGTGTCATATTGCCGCTCGTTACGTTTAACCATGCATGTACTTCGCGAACGTATTCGCGGAAAGGCGTAGTACCGGCAGGGTCCCATGAAGGGCCAGTAGTACGCGTGTCGTCCATCCCCTGCCGCATGTATCCCACAGCACATCCCATTATCACCCATAGAATGCCGAAGATAGTTATCTTGATCCAATGCATATGCATTTCGGCTTCGGTGATTGGTTTAGGCTGTGGTTTGTCAGGCTCTGGCGTGGTAGCCGTGAGGCGCCTGACCGGCACGGGATGCAGGTGGCCCCGCTGCGGGTAGCCCCGCAGGGTGACCACGTTCTCGATCGAGTTGCCGATTGGCATCTGGTGGAAGTCGGGAGTGAAGTAGCGCAGTGAAGTAGGAGAAAGCGTCTCGAGTTCGCGGGTTGCCCCGCTAGCTCGATCGCGGACTGGCTCCGCTCCTCGCAGAGCCGGCGCAACATGGTATTCCACCGTGGTAGTAGTCCACCAAGTTGTGCCGTGGATTACTGGAATCAGAGCGAGAGCCAGCCACACGAGCGTGTAGCCAGCTCCGCTACCAAGTCGAAAACAAGCTGGTAAGCTTAGGTATGTGTTACGCCTTAGGCGTTGCCATATCCCAGGCTTTGGCTCATATCGCATGAGCAAGAGAGCGAGACGAAGCATGGGATCTGGAGTATAGAGTAAGATGGGCATCGTCAATGGAAAGGATGTTTTCCGATCTCAAATGCAAGTAGTGCGCCTCGGTGAGGCACAGTCACATATCAGGCCGGGCCCGGCTTGAGCCAGGCACGGCAGCGGTACATGCTCGATTTATACCTCGCCTTTAACCTTCTCCGTTTAAAGTCCGCCGGCTCCTTCCAGGAGGCCGGCCGGCGGGGCGTGAGGAGGCGGCCCGGGAGCCGGATGCTCGACCGGGTAAGGAAGGCCACCGCCGGCTCCTGCGGGGAGGCCGGCCGACGGGGCAGAGAGAGAACGCCGAGGATCGGAAGGCTCACCTGGCGTGCTGGACCGTCCCATCGTGCGCTAGCGAAGAAGTACCAGAAGCTGAGCAACACGACCGGCTTGAGCCCCAACGATTACGGAATGACGCCGAACAAAACCGAAGAATCCATGTCAAACACGTCATTATTGAATTGACGATATGGTGCACGACCGACCCCGCGGAAATGATACAGTCCACCAGCGGGGGCGCACACATGGGAAAGCGGACATTAGGAGACACGACCCTTCAAGTGACATCAGCGAGGCACGGACGCAAGGTCACCCCGGTTACGGCGGGAACCGTATACATGCACGGACTATTTCATGGATCCGTTGTGCACGATTGCGGAAGGCCATCTGATATCGCCATCCCCTGCTCCAAATTCGCCGACCCAGCGGGCCAGAGGCGTACACAGAAGCGCCCGGGGAGCTGTGTGGCCCCTGCCTCTCCGGCACCCAAGATGGCCCAGGGTTGCCTGAAAGACGGCCCAACGAGGGCCCAAGATGGCTCCCGTAGTTCGCCGAATATGTCTCCGATATACCCTAGGATAGACTCAGGACTCACCGGGACGACCTCGACATGGCCGAAGACTTACGGCACCGGGCCCCCAAGATCTGCGCCTCCCCACGGGGCCTGCGTGCACCACAGCAGCCTGCGTGCATCACAACGCCTGTGTACGCCACAGCGCCTGCGTGCACCGCAACAGACGCGTACAACACAGCGCCGGTTGCCTGTGCACACCACAGCGCCTGCGTGCACCACAGCGCCTGGGTACACCACGGTGCCTTTGTACACCACAGCAGCCGTGTGCATCACAGCCGAGGTGTGCACCACAATGCCTGCGTGCACCACAACGCCTGCGGACACTTCGGCGCCAGTGCACAAGCAGCCATAGAAAAAAACGCACGAACACCTAAATCTTCCTCTTCCTCCACCCTCCTCCCCCCATGTCCGCCTCTGTTCTTGTTGGAACAGCAGCACGAAGGACGTTGAATGTCGCGGAGCCAATTAAAACCTTACACACGTCGAATACATGTCTCGGAAACGATTTTTGTTTCCCCCAGGGGGCGGGCCCAAGAAGGAGAAATGTCAACGAACCGAATATGATTGCAAAGAAAAACAATACATTTCGAACACTCGTTGCGCATGTGAGTGCACGCGCCGAACGTCCAGCGACTGGAAAACCACGCGCCAGGTTTATCCCAGCTTCGGCTGGCAGCCGTGAAAATCCACGAGCTTTCTTTTTTCCCTAAGGTCTATAATTCGTGGAAGGCGGCTCGACTCGTCGTCCGCGCGCGGCCGTTCAGCGGCTACGTCGGTGCATCGATGATGATGATGGTGGTAATGAGGATGATGATTATGATGATGATGATGATGATGATGATGATGACGCGCACACGACCGCCCCAAGACGGTTCCAAGTGGCCAAGGAGCCTCCCGACAGGGGTGTAAATATTATCCCAGGACTCCGGGCTACATGGACCCCATGTGTGTCTGGAGTCTGTCAGAGCTCCTTTTTTGGCCAAAGGTGGTTCCAAGAGGGCCTTAGAGAGGCACGATGGCATCCAATATCGTTCAAGTGGCCAAGGCGCCTCCCGACAGGGGTGTAAATATTATCCCAGGACTCCATGCTACATGGACCCCTTGTGTGTCTTGAGTCTGTCAGAGCTCCTTTTTTGGCCAAAGGTGGTTCCAAGAGGACCTTAGAGAGGCCACGATGGCCTCCAAGATTGTTGAAGTGGCCAAGGAGCCTCCCGACAGGGGTGTAAATATTATCCCAGAACTCCGGGCTACATGGACCCCTTGTGTGTCTTGAGTCTGTCAGAGCTCCTTTTTTGGCCAAAGGTGGTTCCAAGAGGGCATTAGAGAGGCCGCGATGGCCTCCAAGATCGTTCAAGTGGCCAAGGAGCCCGACAGGGGTGTAAATATTATCCCAGGACTCCGGGCTACATGGACCCCTGGTGTGTCTTGAGCTGTCAGAGCTTCCCCTTGTTTGGCCAAAGGTGGTTCGAAGAGGGCCTTAGAAGGCCACGATGGCCTCCAAGATCGTTGAAGTGGCCAAGGAGACCTCCCGACAGGGGTGTAAATATTATCCCAGGACTCCGGGCTACATGGACCCCTGGTGTGTCTTGAGTCTGTCAGAGCTCCTTGTTTGGCCAAAGGTGGTTCCAAGAGGGCCTTAGAGAGTCCACGATGGCCTCCAAGATCGTTCAAGTGGCCAACGAGCCTCCCGACAGGGGTGTAAATATTATCCCAGGACTCCGGGCTACATGGACCCCTTGTGTGTCTTGAGTCTGTCAGAGCTCCTTTTTTGGCCAAAGGTGGTTCCAAGAGGGCCTTAGAGAGTCCACGATGGCCTCCAAGATCGTTCAAGTGGCCAAAGAGCCTCCCGACAGGGGTGTAAATATTATCCCAGGACTCCGGGCTACATGGACCCCATGTGTGTCTGGAGTCTGTCAGAGCTCCTTTTTTGGCCAAAGGTGGTTCCAAGAGGGCCTTAGGAGGCCACGATGGCATCCAATATCGTTCAAGTGGCCAAGGCGCCTCCCGACAGGGGTGTAAATATTATCCCAGGACTCCGGGCTACATGGACCCCTTGTGTGTCTTGGAAGTTCCAGAGCTCCTTTATTGGCCAAATGGTTTCAGGCCACGATGGCCTCCAAGATGTTCAAGTGGCCAAGGAGCCTCCCGACAGGGGTGTAAATATTATCCCAGGACTCCGGGCTACATGGACCCCTTGTGTGTCTTGATCTGTCAGAGCTCCTTTTTTGGCCAAAGGTGGTTTTCCAAGAGGGCATTAGAGAGGCCACGATGGCCTCCAAGATCGTTCAAGTGGCCAAGGAGACCTCCCGACAGGGGTGTAAATATTATCCCAGGACTCCGGGCTACATGGACCCCTGGTGTGTCTTGAGTCTGTCAGAGCTCCTTTTTTGGCCAAAGGTGGTTCGAAGAGGGCCTTAGAAAGGCCACGATGGCCTCCAAGATCGTTGAAGTGGCCAAGGAGCCTCCCGACAGGGGTGTAAATATTATCCCAGGACTCCGGGCTACATGGACCCCTTGTGTGTCTTGAGTCTGTCAGAGCTCCTTTTTTGGCCAAAGGTGGTTCCAAGAGGGCCTTAGAGAGTCCACGATGGCCTCCAAGATCGTTCAAGTGGCCAAAGAGCCTCCCGACAGGGGTGTAAATATTATCCCAGGACTCCGGGCTACATGGACCCCTTGTGTGTCTTGAGTCTGTCAGAGCTCCTTTTTTGGCCAAAGGTGGTTCCAAGAGGGCCTCAGGGAAGCCGCGATGGCCTCCAAGATCGCTCAAGTGGCCAAGGAGCCTCCCGACAGGGGTGTAAATATTATCCCAGGACTCCGGGCTACATGGACCCCTTGTGTGTCTTGAGTCTGTCAGAGCTCCTTTTTTGGCCAAAGGTGGTTCCAAGAGGGCCTTAGAGAGGCCGCGACCGCCCCAAGACGGTTCCAAGTGGCCAAGGAGCCTCCCGACAGGGGTGTAAATATTATCCCGGGACTCCGGGCTACATGGACCCCGTGTGTGTCTTGAGTCTTGAAACTTGAGCCAAACTAAAGCTAAAGCGCTCCAAAACCTCCTCCTCCTCCTCCTCCTCCTCCTCCTCCTCCTCTCCTCCTCATCAAACTTTTCCCCGTCCTCTTTCTCGTCGTCGTCGTCGCTGTGGTGCACGCAGGCTGCTGTGGTGTACACAGGCGCTGCGGTGTACACAGGCGCTGTGGTGCACGCAGGCACTGTGGTGTACACAGGCGCTGTGGTGCAGATCGCCACCTTCACGCTGCCCCTACCTGTCCTCGGTCATCCCTAGGCATTCCCAGACGCCGCGGGCGCCGAACGTGACGCTACCGGCCCCCCGCCCCCCCCCCCCCGGTAACGCCCGTTATCGCCGGGGAATAAAAAAACGGGCTCTTGGGACGCCGGTGTGCGTCGGGAAACTGAAAAGCGAAAATTCCAAAATCCTTCGAAAAACTTCGGAGAAGCAATGATTCTGCCTCGTCGGGCCTTCTTTGGAGACCTCTTCGGGCGTCCGGGCTGCCCGTTCCAGACTTCTAGAGGCCTCTTGGGGGCCTCTCGAGTCCGATCGCACCACGACGTCATCGTGTGCCCAGATGCCTCCAGACGCCCAGGCACCCGCAAGCTTCAATCCTCGAGCCCCGATACTGGACCTGTGCTTACTGTCCTCGGGCCGACTGGGAGGAGGAGGAGGAGAAGGAGGAGGAGGAGGAGGGGGAGGAGGAGGGGGAGGAGAGAGAGGAGGAGGAGGGGGAGGGGGAGGAGGCGGAGGAGGGGGAGGAGGAGGCGGAGTAGGGCTTCAGGGCTTGAGGGCTGATGACATCTGGCTCCGTGCACGCGCGGGGACAGAAGCCGATGCGGAGGACGAGACAGTGCGCAGGGAAGTTGCAGTGGACCTGCCACCGCCGACCCTCTTCGAGGCAGCTGGAGCTGCCGCTGCACAACCTTTCGGCCAGAGCAGAACCGTTCGCCCTTTGGCTTGCCTCGGCTGCGACACGTCCCACGACCCTGCCCGGAGTCCAAACGTACCAGTTCTCCAAGCTGCGTCCAGCCGTGGCGACGAGGGGGCCACTCGAAAGTCCCAAAAGCCCCGCCCCGTGCATCGGTTTCAGGGCAATGCCTCGGGCTTCCGGCGGCCGACCGGGACGATTCCGGCACACACAGGACGCAGTTTTTCAGCCCGGATCGATTTTTTAAAATCAACAATTCGGGCCTCCCGGGCCTCTCTTGGGAGGCTTCTTTGGGGCCTCTGGGCCGCAGTTTGGAGGCCTCATGGGGAGCCGGTTTGGGGCCCATTGGGGTCTTTTGGGAGCCTCTTGGGGGCCTCCTTGGGGCTTCTTGGAGGCCTCTTGGGGCCTCTTGGGGCCCTCTGGGGGTCTCCTGGGGCCCTCTCGGGGCGGTAAATTAGATGTTTGAACCTTCGGTCGCCCTCTCGGGCCCCTCTTGGGGCCTTCTCGGGGCCGTGTTGGGATCTCTTGGGCGCCTCTTGGGCTGTCTTGGGGCCCTCCAGAGCTGTCTTGGGGCCGTCTTGGGGCCGTATTGGGGGCGTCCCGGGCCATCTTTGGGCGCTCTTGAGGGCCTCTGGAGCTGTCTTGGAGCGTCGGAAAGCTGGAAGAGCGAGAACGCAAAAAAACATCGAAAAACACACAGAAAATCAACAATTTTGGCTTCCCCGGGCTCTCTTGGTAGGCTTCTTTGGGGCCTCTTGGGGCGTCTTGGGGCCATCTTGTGCTGTCTTGGGGCTGTCTTGGGCGGTCTTGGGGGCCTCTGGCGCAGTCTTGGGGCCACCTTTAGCGTCTTGGAGCCCTCTGGGCCTGTGTTGGAACGCTCTTCGGGCACTCTGGGGCTGTCTTGGCTGCTCCGGGGAGGCTCCAGGCCCCCCCCGTCCTCCCATGGGGGGTCGGGGCACCTGTTTTCAGGCCGCGGGTCAGCCCCGCAGGGATATATATATATATATATATATATATATATATATATATATATATATATATACACATATAAACACACATGCATGCATGCATGCATGCATGCACATACATGCATACATACATACATACATACATACATACATACATACATACATGTATGCATGCATGCATGCATGCATGCATACACACATACATACATACATACATACATATATACACATGCATGCATGCATCCACACATACATATATACATACATACATACATACATACAGACAGACAGGCAGACAGACAGACAGACAGACAGACATACATACATGCATACATATATACATACATACATACATGAAGTCATACAACCTTACAACCATACATACATACATACATACATACATACATACATACACACACATACATACATACATACATACATGCATGCATGCATACATACATACATATACGTATACATATATACATGCATGCATGCATGCACACATACATACACACGTACACATACATACATGCATACATGTAAACAGACATACACCCATGCATCCATCCATACATGTATACATGCATACATGCATACATACATACATACACACATACATACATACATACATGCATGCATGCATGCATGCATACATGCATACATACATACATGTGCATGCATGCATGCATGCATGCATGCATGCATACATACATACATACACACATACATATATATATATATATATATATATATATATATATATATATTCCATCGAGGGAAACACATGACTTTCGGACCTTTGCGAGTAGGCACTTTGCGAGTAATGGAACGCGTTCTGTGACTCGGGATCCCTTCCCTCCATGGCGAGGTTGGCCGGAGAAGAGCTTCACGATGTCCCCAAAATGGTCACCGCGGGCGGCTCGTGCGCGCCCCGCGCGCCGCCACGGCGCGGCCCCGCGAGCCCCACCCTCCAAAAACACCTGCCGTGTGGAGGCGCCGAGTGAGCCGTCTGAGGCGCCTGTGTGCCGGCTCGGGACGAGCCGAGGCCGCCGAGGATCGTCTTGACGGCTGTTTGAGCGCCCTCGGAGTCGATCTGGGGCTGCCGAAATACAGTGGAGGCCAGTCCACAAGAGACCTTCCACAAAAAACCCAACCCTGAGACCCCAGGCCGTCCATTGGTTTTTGGTGTGGGAATGTCACGCTTTCCATCGCAGAACCATCGAAACCCAAGAACCCCAGGGCACCCTGGAAGCGAGCAGGATGTTTCTTGGCATGGATCTGCCCTGTATGCGCGAGGAACCCCGGTCCACCCATTTGCGGTCGGGATTCCCGCCCGGGGGGCCCTGGACCTGGGCCCCAATACATGTGTAAACGAGGTCCTGAAGTACCAATTCTTCAGCCCGATATGTTGGTTGACGGTCTCGGGCCATCGAAACGGAAAAAAAAACAAAGACGTCCGCGCGTGTTCTTTGACCTTCCGTTCTGCATTTTCAACGGCGCGAGCATGTCTGCGTCTGTGGGGGAGCTTAAAGATCGTACGCGCCCAACCACTTACAAACACCACCTCCCAGTCCGCGAGACCAGCCTCGTGATACGAATGTTCGCGCAGTGCGTACTCTCGAAACATACGTGGATCCATCTACGTGCGCGTCTTTCTTTCGCTCCCGATCTGTATCCCAGGTGCGCCCTTGTAACAATTTGTTGTCTCCCACCGCCGCGTCAATCACCTGTGCGCACCCCAGCATGTAGGAGGGGGGCCCAGGCCACCCACACCAGAATGATCGTTAGCGTTACCCTGGGGTGGGGGATGGGGTGGGGTTTGGCCCAGGTAACAAGCGCGACTCTGGGAAGGGGGCAAGAAGAACGATGCATCGGCGATGCACCCGCGATGCGCCAGCTATGCATCGTCGACGTCGGCGATGCATCGGCGACGCCAGCGTGGAGCAAAGCGGGCTCCACATCGAGCCGCATCGCCGATGCATCGGCGATACGGCGCGATCCTCCGACCCCATCTGCTCGAACCCCATCTGGGAGGCCTAGATTGGGGCCCCGGGGGCGCCTCTCCCCCCCCCCTCGCTCTGGCCGTGGGAGGAGCCTCGATCGTCAAGGAGGGGCAGGACGAGGGTCGGGGGCGTCCGAGAGGGGAGGGGGCGCAAATCATGGCCCGAGGCATGTGCGCGGCCCAGGGGGAGGCCCAAGGGACGTATTGAAATAAGACGAGGCGCCATGAGATCTGGGGAGATCTCATGGCCACCCCCCTCTCGGCCGCCCCCGAGAGGGCCACCTCTCCGCCCTGGCCGGGGCAGAACGAGAAGCCCCGATGGGCGAGGGACCAGAGCGCCAGGGCGCCAGCGCGCCACCCTTGGCGCCGCCGCCGCGCGGGATCCCAAGGGCCCCTCTGTATGGCTGCACGCAAGACTGACCCCGGGTGCAGTCGGACCTAGGACAGATGAACAGCTCTCCTCCGGCCAAAATGAAGAGCATTCGAGGGTACCCCCCCCCCAGGCACACGAACACCCAGCAATCACGAGAAACATTAGGGTGCCCTCCCTGAACCGACCTCGATCTTGTACCTCGGTCCCGCTGTAAGGACGACCTTCGGTGCGCGGCTTTTTAGGGGCCACGGGGTAACCAAACACGAGCGCGCGGGACGCTACTATCGCGTCGCGTTCGGCGATCGGGGGACCTCAGCGGGCCCGCACTAAGGGTCACTCGGGCCACAGGTCACTCTTGCGTCTAGTCGACTGTACCATCCGACGCCCCGCCGTGGAGGTGTTGAGGTCGTTCCAGAGGCCCGCGATGGAATCCGTGAGCTCCTGAGGGGGGCCGCTGGCCCTCTTGGCCTCCCCGCGCGGCTGCCCAACCAGGACACGGAAAACCAATCGGCATTCGGATCGGGAACTTCGGATCGGATCGGAATGCTCGGACGCAAGATTAAACCGGATTGCGCACGATTGAGGCGGATTCAACAGGATTATGACGGATTGGTTTTCGACAGTGGATAACTATACAAATCCCGATGCTGAGTGTAACCTTCCAGGAATTGCATCCTAAAGAATATGCGCCTCAAGAGCGAAGAAAGACAACCGCAACCGCCTGGCTGAGGGAACCGCCCCTAGCACCCCCCAAGGCCGACCCAGATCCCCCAGGTGTGACGACTCACGACATGCACTGGAATTCGAGTGCCGCGCGCAGGTCTCCACCGCGTTGGGGGGTCGGGGTCGGCCTTGGGGGGGGGGGCGCCACAGGCGGGCTCCTCAACCTAACGGTCGCAGTTGTGTGTTTTCTTCGCCCATGAGCATGCCCATGAGCCGCAATGGAGTCGGGTCGGTTGCGCCAGGATGCACAGCCGCGCCACGCAAGTATCGTGCCACCGAGACCGAATTGGATCAAACGGGGTGACTCCGACATCGGACCGGATGGGTCGGATCGAAACTTGTCGGCGCGCGCTCAGTCGCCGCATCCGTTGTCCTCTTTCCCTGCGTCTCCGTCGTCCCCTTTCCCTGTACCATCCTCTTCAAGCCTGCCAGCGAGAGAAAACCGTAGCGGCGTCGCACTTCAGTCGAAAGGAAGCCCCTTCCCTTTGATCCCTCCCCCGCCGAAGGGGGGGGTCCAGGGGGAGTCCGGGGGGGGGGTCGGTCAGATAAGCATCCGCCCCTGGGCGTCCCGGCGCCCCAAAAAGCGCTAAGACGCGCCAAGAGGGCCCCAAGCAGGCCCAAGAAGAGGACCACGAACCGACATTTCGAGCTTCCCGCCCCAAAAAGCCCCCAGAAGGCCCCAAGAGCCCCTCAAGGGGCCCGACGAGGCCCCCAAGAGACCCCCAAGAGACCCCCAAGAGGCCCAACAGAGGCCCCAACAGGCCCGAAAACATCCAAGAGGCCTTTGGACCAAAACCCCAGCACGGTGGCGGGAAGGGCCGCAGGCCACAAGGCTCCCTGTCTGTCTCTGCTACGACTCCCTCGGCCCACATGGGGAACATCTCCTTCGCCCTCTCCTGCTCCCTTCCACCTTAATCCCCCTCCTCCTCCTCCTCCTCCTCCTCCTCCTCCTCCTCCTCCTCCTCCTCCTCCTCCTCCTCCTCGTATTCGTCATCATCGTCTTCAGGGTCGGCGGCACAGGCGGTAATGCCTTAGCAATAATTCGGCCCTGCCAGGAGGCTGGCCTTCACAATCGGTCGACCAAAGCGCTCCTAATTGTCGAATCGATCGAGTCGAGCAGGAAGGATCAGGTGGTGACTCCTGGGAGGTCTTCGTGGGAAATATTAAGCGTTTTGGGGGCTACGAAGCAAACTTAGGGCAGAATGACCCTCTACTTAAACCGGATTGCGCCGGATCGAACAGAATCAGGCTGAATTAGATTGAAGAAAATGCTAACGCCGACGCTGAATGTAAACTCCCATGAAAGGCAACCAAATCAGGAGGACCCTGGCCTGCAGGGCCTCGGGACCGTCAAGCTGGAGGAGAAAATCGGAGAGGGTCCAGAGCTTTACAAGAATCACGACGTTGGATGTCCGGAGAAAGGAGAGGTTCGAATGGGTTCGGCCAGCATTGGGACATTCGGCGGTGGACAAACCTCCCTTTAGCAAATCTCTCCTCAGTGAAAACGGCCTGGGACCGAAATCGACGGACCTGGACACGCAAAAATGACGGCCGCGATGCCCTCTCGCGAACCGAAAACGGCCAATTCCTTAATCGACGTGTCAGGGTAGGAGGTCGATCCACCTCCGAGACATTTTTCAATACAGGAACGGCGCCCGTGCGCCGTATTTGCTTCGGTTTGACCTCCCTTCAGGCCCCGCTCCAACGCGGCGGTGCGTAGCTCTTCGGCTCCGAGGGCCGAGAGCATGCACCGTACCCTGCCTGCATGGAGGATCGACGGCGCCTCGAGACGCCAACGCGGTACGGTGCACACGAGTCGTCCGTGGATCAGCGGTCACTCTACCCACCCATCGGATGTCTTGATCTTTTCACTACGGGGCCCGCGGACGTCCCAACACATTTCCCCAAATGCCTCTTTTCATTTGCGCCTAATTTGTTTACGGTCCAGGGACCCAGAGAAGGCCTCCAAAAGCCGAAAATGGCCCAAAACCTTTCGTAATGTTTTTCTTGCGACGCGAGCATGTCCGGGACGGTGCCTCCGAAATGGGGTCGGAGGATCGCGCCGCATCGTCGACGCATGTTGTCGGCGTGGAGGAAACTGGGCTCCACATCGAGCCGTATCCGCATCGGCGATGATATCTGCTCGGACCCTATTTTGGGAGGCCAAGCGATCCAGATACCGCTACTCCCCCCCCTGGACAACTCCCAAGGTGCGTTCCGACAAGAATTTCGAGGCGAATCCAGCCGTGGCGACGAGGGTCTTCCAGGAGGCCGAAGCATGTGAAAACGAGGGAAGGGTGGTCGTATCGGTGCGTTTACTCCTATCAGCGGCGAGCGAGGGGGGAAATGAGAAGGAGAAGGCCTTCTCAGAAGGCGGCGGGACTTCTCAGAAGCCCTCGCGTCTTCTGAAACATTTTCTGTACATTCGGGTAAGGCTTGGAAAGCTTCTCAGAAAGCCAGTGGACTTCCGAGACTTCTGAGAAGGCCCGCCCCTGCTCACATCTCCCCTGGACTCGCCTGCGACACAAGAAGGCGCGACGGCTCTTCTTGGCCGCCCTGCGAGGATCAAACTAGAATCAAACATCAATTGTTTACTATTTTTCGTGACTACGCCCGTGAACGGCCCCGGGCCGCCGCCCCCCTTCTCATCCCCCCTTGTCACGTCACGATTCGCGCCGGCGCCGTGCGGGGATGCCCTTCCTAAGCACTCGCAGTTGGCGGCGGCACGCATCGTGACGTGACGGGCCCCTTCCCACTCTCCCGCCCCTCCCCTGGTCACGCCCGCTATCGCCAGGGGAACATGGAAACGGTTTCCAATCGGGTAGATCTGCACGCTTCAATGCACAGTCCTGGTGCTACTGCCCAGACATGCTCGACTCGGCTACACGTAAGAGTGACCCTAGGCAAGGGTGACCCGTGGTGCGCGACTTTCGTAGACCAGGTGGAGGCCGAACTGGAGCGCGCAAGCCGCTGCTATCGCATCTCGTTCAGCCATCTGGGGACCCCAATGTGCCCGCACCAAAAGTCAATCCAACGAAAAATCACTCATACGTCTTGTCGATCGAGTCTTAAGACAAAACTCACGACGCGACGTTGTTGGCCGTGATTGGCCTCCAGGGGCCCTCGCTGGGCCCCAGGACCGTCAACAAGACGACTCTCGGACCCCCACCTCTGGCCAAACCTTCGGGCGCAGACCAACCAAACCTAGCGCAAAACTGGCTCATCCAACATAGAATGTACCCAGTGACGTACCCAACTCATTGGCATCAAGTGACAAAAGGAATTGGCCCAAACTTGCCAGGACAATGACAATGCAGGCGCCTTAGGTGTTGTGCAAGCTACATGGGATACGCCCGCGTGGCGCAATTCACAGGACAACAACAGAAGGACGAGGAACGAGGGCCCAAGCTTGAGGAGGACATGGGGGCGGGAACAGAAGGCAAGAAAAAAGACGCGCGGGAGGCCGAACCGTCAGCGCGGCAGCAGCAGAGGGACGGTGGCTGAGGACAGAGGTCGACGACGAAAGTGACGGGAGGAAACCGAAGAGTGTTGCTTTTGTCGGTCGCGCGCTAAAGATGCAGCGCTGCCTGCGCCATGTCGCCGCGGCGCTCGAAACAATGATAACACCTGCTTATACTTTGTGCAAGAAGCGCGCAAAGCCCAACTCGCCCGCCAACTTCTCTGTTTTTTGCGTGACGACCCCGGAGCTCTAAGCAACCCCCAAGTAACATAAACAAGCGTCACCCAGCTGGACCCCAGGGATGGCGAGGTCTCCTGGTGGTCCGCATAAGACGTCACGCCGCTGCACTCCCCATCAACCCAATCAAACTGCGACAGTTCCGCAGATCGCAGACCCCCAGGGATGGCGAGGTCTCCTGGTGGTCCGTGTCAGACGTAGCTCCGCTGCACCCCCAGCGGCCATCGAAAATGGCGACAATTTCTCGCAGATCGCAGCCCCCCACGGATGGCGAAATCTCCTGTTGGTCCGCGTAAGACATCAATCCGCTGCACCCCCCAGCAGCCCTCGAAAAAGGCGACAGTTTCGCATCGCACCCCCCCCAGGGATGGTGACATTTCCTGGTGGTCCGCGTAAGGCGTCACTCCGCTGCACCCCCCAGCAGCCCTGGAACTTGGCGACAATTTCGCAGATCGCAGCCCCGCGAGGCCTGATCTGAGTCTGCGTATTTCGTCACTCCGCTGGATTCCCCAGCAGCCCTCGAAGGTGGCGACAATTCCGCAGATCGCAGCCCCACAGGAATGGCGAGGTCTAATTTGAGTCCGCGTAGCAGTCCATTCCGCTGGATCCTCCAGCAGCCCTCGAAAGTGGCGACGGTTTCGCAGATCGCAGCCACCCAAGGGATGGCAAAATAGGAGAGAGACAGGGTAGAAGGCAGGTAGGAAGGATGAGAACAGAAGGGAGGCCGGAGGAGGGAGGTGGAGACCGAAGTGCTCCATTCAAAAAGAGTACCCAACGCAGGAGGGTTGGGAAGAAACCTGTGCTTCAATGTGTTCATTGCTCCGCCAATATGTGAGGCGACCTCCACGGCCGCGTGCGGTTGTCAAACCAAGCTCAACCCAAATCTGGCATCGCCGGGTCCTCGCTGTGGCTGAGCCCCGTTTGCGCTGAACCTTTGACCTGCCGCTGAAACCTCCATTCGGGGATGGATCTACTGACAGACCCGGGTCAGTGGTCTTTGCAGGATCTTGCAAAATCCTGCAGGATCCTGCGTGATCCTGCACCCAAGCCCGGGTCAATGCACCCCTGGCTGCGCAGGATCCTGCAAGATCTGGCGCTCTGACTGACCCCCGTTTGCATTGAACTCCCTCTCCTAAGCCCCGATCCGTTACCCTCCAGCCAAGCCTGGTCAGAACAATAAATCTTTTTCCCGTGAGCACGAGCCGCAGATAGGTGGCCGGTCCCCAGTGTGCAGTCTGACCCCACTTAGGCTTGCGCCCGCCTGCATCGGCCACGCGGCGGGGACAGCTACGTCTCGTGCTCCACAACGGCGGAGCAACAAAAACTCGGCGAACGAGCGGGCGAGACGAGGCCAGGCTGAAGAGAAACGTGGAGAGCTCAGACTAGAAATAATGCCTCGATCGTTCCACGAGCGCACGCCCTGACACGTGCATCGACCTCGTTGTGCAGAGCCACCCGTGTCAGGCAAAATGCCGTTTGTGGGGACGGGTTGCAATCATAACAATAATAAACACACAAACTGAGCCGAGCAAGAAAGGCGTGAGATAATTGACAAAACGAAGGTGTACAGTTCAAGCCTAGAGCCCCATAGCGGGTCGTGAACTGCCACGTGCCTACGTGATATGGGGAAGGCATCTTCAACGCAACCAGACTGCAAACTGCGGAACAATATTGGGCATGACTAAATGGGGAAAAGGAGTGGGCGGCCGCGCCGACGGGGCGCGACCTGCGGGCTACACGCGCGACCCGCGCAGACGGGACGGCGCCAGCGATCTGGCGCGGAGGCCGAGCGCCTCACCCCGCCACCATGAGGAGGAGAGCAAGGGAGGAGCGGGAGGGAGGAGGATGGGGGGAGGGAGGGGGGGAGGCTGCACGCTCGTGCCGAGCGCTCAGGGCATCCACAACCACGGATGAATCTGCTGGCTGGGATCGACGGCTCGGCATCTCGAGTCCGAGGGGAAAGGACGAGGCGGAAGGAGGAGGAGGACGGGGGGAGGGAGGGGGGGAGGCTGCACGCTCTGGCCGAGCGCTCAGGGCATCCACAACCACGGATGAATCTGCTGGCTGCGATCGACAGCTCGGCACCTCGAATCCGAGGGGTGTGGAGGCGAGGCGGAAGGAGGAGGAGGAGGACGGAGGGAGGGAGGGGGGGAGGCTGCACGCTCTTGCCGAGCGCTCTGGGCCTCCACAGCCACGGATGAATCTGCCGGCTGCGATCGACAGCTCGGCACCTCAAATCCGAGGGGGGAGGACGAACGGAGGAGGAGGTGAGGGAGAGAGACACTGATACGAAACACCCCAGCAACGCATCATCTAACCCCGCGCGCTGAGCGACGGAGAAAATAAATCGCACCCCAGGCCGGGGAACGCAGCCCACTGGCCAAACTACATAGCTGTGACAACTATGAGAGCACAAGCCCCAAACCCGAACCAGTGATGCGTAGCATAGCGAAGCGGGCACGACGTCGAACCTCCGAGGCGCGAGAGCGGGTCCAACAGCAAGCAGCAACGACGGGGGAGACACAGGAGGGAGCGGGCGCCGTCCCGAGCCGTGGCCATGGTGCCGAGTCCCCAAGCACGCGCAGCTGGACCCAAGGGGCCCAAGGACACACACACACACACACATAAACACACACAAATAAAAGGATTCCCCCAATTTCCCCATATTTTCTAGGTTTGTGCCTTCCCGCCCAATTCCAATATTTTCAAATATTTTCTGGGGAATCGACGATTAATTGTGTCTGTGTGTTTGTTCCCCTCCTGATGGACGCGCCGCCGCGGTCGAACTGGGCGCGCCGCCGTCGAACTGGGGGCAGCTGGAGAGCGCTGCGCTGCAATCCCTTTTACGTCGGGTCCAACCGGTGGGCGCCCGCGGCCTTCCTGCACGGCCTCCCTCTCCCGGGCTTTCCCGCGCGCCTTCCGGACCTGCCCGCGACGGCGCTGGCGGCGAGGTACCGAGTGTGTCAATTTGAGGCAGCGGCGGAGGGCGGCTTGCGCGTGGCCGCCAGAGCAACGGAGCTGCGCGCGACGCGGCTGCACAGCACGGCACCGCTTGCGCGCCTGGGGCGCTGGGGAGCAATTGGTTCAACAGCTCGTTCCTCTTGCAGCTTGATGCGGCGCAGAGCTACTCCCATCAGCGCGCGCTGGGCCCGCGCCAGGTGGCACTGGCAGCGGGCACGGCCGACCCCGTGCGCCTGAGGAAAGCCTGGCAGAGCACGTGCGTGCGCATGATCGAACCCGACAGGGCCGCGTCCCTGGCACGCTTCTTGCGGCATCGGCTGTCGCGCTGGTCTTGCGACCTGTCAGTGGAAGAGATGACCAACCGCGCATTGCGCGCGTATCCCGCCGTGGCAAGGCGAGTTCCCCCGCGGGCGTTGGCCGCGTGCCTGCGGACGCTTTGGAACGGCTGGGTCACCGCCCGGCGGTTTCAGCAGCGCGCGGGCTGCTGCTTCGGGTGCGCAGACGGCGAGGACTCCGTGGAGCACTACGCCGATTGCCCCTGCGTCGCGGCGGCGGCGGCCGACCTGCCGGGGCTGCCCCAGCTGGCCTCGCGGGAGGCGCGGCTCGCCGGGTTCTTGATCCTGGCGCCCCCTCACAGCGAGCAGACGGGCTCCCGAGCTGCGGCGCCGGGCGCTTGTGACGGCCAGCGTGTACCTGACCCACTGTCGGTGCAGGCACGCCGCAGGTCGCAGCCGCGCTGCCTGCTTGAACGCGCTGAGGGTGACCATCCGCCAGCTTCTTGAGTGCCAGCGCCAGTTCTGTTCCTCGTTATTTTGTCCGTCCTCCTCCTCCTCCTCCTCCTCCTCCTCCTCCTCCTCCTCCGTGAAGTGCAGCTTTGGTGCGAATCTAGGGGTCGAATCGCTCCCTGTAGTGAATTATATATTTTTTCGCGAGGCCGAGGTCCCTCCTGCTGTCGTCTTCCGTCGTCCTCGTCGTCGTCGTCGTCGTTGTCACTCGTCTCTCCGCTCCTCCCGCCCTCACCGCTCCTTGCACGGCAGCCGCTGACATGTCCCATGATTATGGGAGTCATCCGCGGCGTTCTCCCCCCTCGGGGGCTGTGCCTTGCTGCGGGCTGGTCGGTGGGCGAGACCCTGGGTACCCGCTCGCGGTTGCTTGGAAGCCTGGTCAGAACAATACTGTCCATTCGAAACACAATAGCTAAATCCAAAGGTGTCCAACTAAAATCCGGGGAAGGTGCGGAAGCTCCAGCGCGAGTTTTAGGGCAGCAGAAGTCGTTGAGCCCTCAAATAATGGTTGTTCGCTGAGGGTGCGTCTGCCGTTCCTGCCTGGGGAAGCGCGGTTGGACACCGACGACGCCGAAGTGCCTGCAACAGCCCACAGGAAGGGTCACCATTAAACCGATATATCGGATCGGATTGGAACATGCATCGAATCACGCCGCATACATACAGTCAGGAACTCGGATCGAATCGACCGCGTCAGGGTGCACAACAACGTCCGCATATCGGGATCGAGTCGGATCGAGCCAAATCAGATCGCTCAATATAAAAACATGCATCGAATGTCAGAATCGATATCGAAATCAATATTGATATCGATTGACATCGGTCATGATGTCGGAGAGAGCGTGATCCACCGCCGCTTTACTGTGGAAAATTGCCGCCCTCATCCTCTGGAATCCAGGGGTCCCCCCCCCCTCCGAAATTCCCCCCCCCCCCCCCCGCTGGAACCCCTCCCCCCCCCCTCCCCCCGGCAACCCCCCCACCCTCTCCTAACCCCCCCCCCCCCCCCCTCCCCCTCGAAAACCGGGGGGGGTCACTACCGGTTCGAACCCCCCCCCCCTCGAAAACCGGAGGGGGGGTCACTACCGGTTCGAACCCCTCCCCACCCCCCCCACTCACCGCCAGCAAACGACTCCCGGTCCCTACCACCGTCCGCACCACATCCCCCACTGTTGTTCCCAGCACCACTGTCCTCACCACCACTGTCCCCACTGGCTCCACCACCGTCCCTACTGTCCCCACCAGTGCCCCCCACCACTGTCGCACTGTCCCCACTGTCCCCACCACTGTTCCCACCAGGGTTCCACTCTCCCCACTTTCTCCACGGCCCCAACCACTGCCCGACTATCCCCACTGTCCCCACTGTCCCACTGACTCCTCCGCTGTCCCACTAAGCTGTCCCACTGTTCCCACCACTGTCCCCACTGTCCGCACCACTGTCCCCACTGTACCTCTGTCCCATTGTCCCACCGCCGTCCTCGCCACCGCCTTCACCACTGTCCCCACCACTGTACCCTCCACTGTCCCACTGTTTCCACCTCATTCCCACTGTCCCCACACCACTGTCCCCACCACCACCGTCCCCACCACTGTCCACTGTCCCTACTGTTCCCACCATTGTCCTCACCACTGTCCCCACCACTACCGTCCCCACCACTGTCCCACTGTCCCCACCACTGTCCCGCTGTCCCCTCACCACTGTCCCCATCACCACCATCCCCACCACTGTCCGCACCCCCCCCTCGGTTTTCGAGGGGGGGGGGTTCGAAGCGGTAGTGACCCCCCCCCGGTTTTCGAGGGGGAGGGGTGGGGGTGGGGTTCGAACCGGTAATGACCCCCCCCCCTTTCATGATGAACGGGGGAGGGGGGGAGGGGTTCGAACCGGTAGTGACCCCCCCGAACCGGTAGTGACCCCCCCCGGTGTTCCGCCAGCAGCGGTAGGACACGCTCTTTCTGATGTCGAGATCGATACCCATCGGTCGGAAGAAATAGGTAGAAACATGAAGTAGGAAAGCGTTGAAACATATATCGGGTGTTCGTCCGCCCCCTGAGGATGGAACAAGTGAAGCCACTCGAACATTCAAGGTGGAAGGCGCCTAAAGTAGATTGGAAGATCAGAATCCAGAAATCTACTGTCAACGACCGATGGGCATCGATCATATCGAAACCGTCCCTGGCGGAGCGCCGACGCCGGGGCAGCGCAGCCGCCCGAGGGGGCGGGCGCGGCGAGGCGTCCTGGATCTCCGACTCGAGCTCGTCCTTCTTGAGCTCGAGGCTGGCGACCTCCACATTCAGGGTCTTGACCTCCTGGTACCTCGAGGCTGGGGCCCCACAAATCCAGACCACCTAAAGGTCATGGCAACCATCACGACGGACAATTGTTCCGTAATTTCGGCCTCTGCGGGCCCTCGCTGGGCCCTCGGACCGTCAAACATTAGCCTGGCGAAGGCCCCAACCAAATGCAGTTGTGAGTAAGGCAATTGTGGGTGCTCCCTATGGGATCACGATACGTGTGAGGGGTGTGCCGACATGGGTGGCGGGTACGCATGCGAACACCGCCACTGAGGCCTTCGGTGGAGCTCCCTGGGGGCCACGAAACGTGTGAGGGTGTGCCAAAATATGTGGCGGGGACGCATGCGAACACCGCCACTGGGGCCTTCGGTTGAGCTGCTTATGGGACCACGAAGCGTGTGCGGGGTGTGCCGAGTGGCGGGACGAATGCGAACACCGCCACTAAGGCCGTCGGTGGAGCTCCCTGTGTGGCCACGAAATGTGTGAGAGGGTATGCAGAAAGAGGTGGCGGGGGACGCATGCGAATACCGCCACTGGGGTCTTTTGTGGAGCTTCTCTATGGGACCACGAAACGTGTGAGGGGTGTGCCGAAATAGGTGGTGGGGACGCATGCAAACACCGCCACTGGGACCTTCGGTGGAGCTCCCTATGGGGCCACACGAAGCGTGTGAGGGATGTGTCAAAAGTGGTGGCGGGACGCATGCGAACACCGGGCCTTTTGTGGAGCTCCCTATGGGGCCACGACACGTGTGAGGGATGTTGAAATTGGTGGCGGGGACGCATGCGAACACCGCCACTGGGGCCCTCGGTGAAGCTCCCTATAGGGCCGCACGAAGCGTGTGAGGGGTGTGCAGGAATCAATGGCGGGGACGCATGCGAATACCGCCACTGCGGCCTTCGGTTGAGCTCCCTATGCCCTATGGGGCCACGAAACGTGTGAGGGGTGGCGGGGACGCATGCGAACATCGCCACTGGGGCTTTCGGTGGAGCTCCCTATGCGGTGACGACACGTGTGAGGGATGTGCCGAAATGGGTGGCGGGGACGCATGCGAACACGGCCGCTGGGGCCTTCGGTGGACCTTCCGATGGGGCCACGGAACGTGTGAAGGATGTGCCGACATGGGTGGCGGGTACGCATGCGAACACCGCCACTGAGGCCTTCGGTGGAGCTCCCTGGGGGCCACGAAACGTGTGAGGGTGTGCCAAAATATGTGGCGGGGGGCGCATGCGAACACCGCCACTGAGGCCTTCTGTGGAGCTCCCTACGGGGCCACGAAGCATGTGAGGGGACTGTCGACATGGGTGGCGGGGACGCATGCGAACACCGCCACTGGAGTCTTCGGTGGAGCTCCCTATAGGGCCACGAAACGTGTGAGGGGACTGCCGAAATGGGTGATGATGATGATGATGGGAGGAGGGAGGAGGGAGGGGGCAGCGGGAGGAGGAGGAGGAGGAGTGAACGCGGGGACCGTCTCTTCAAAACGAGGACCCAACACTACCGCACGGTTGGGAGCTTCTCAGGATGAAAAACTGGTTCCAGGAGTGATGGGTTGAGACCCCCGGGGGTCGACGTCGCGCAAAAACATGACGGCAAGGATTCCCAAACGGTGTGGTGCCTGACCGCGCGGTGATTTCCGGAATCCCCCGGAGACCTCACCGCATGGTCCGCCGCCGCACCGTTCTGGGACCTCCGAGGCCCCAATCGCTCGAGACATCTCCTGAGAGGATCCAGGAACAAATACCTGTGCATTTAACACGTCTGACTTTCTCGAACCTGGACCCCCCGTTCTCTCGGCCTCGCTGGACAAATCGCTCACCCCCAGTGCGCAGCGGTGCCCGAGTTGAGCGGCGAGTGAACGCTTCGTGGCCTGCCCGGGCCTGGCGTGCCAGTTTTAACTTTGTCTCGCGGAGTCATTGATTTCACGCGGTGCGCCGCTGTTTCCCTCGGCAAGTTCCGAATTCTTCGTTTCTGCATCGGGCGCGCAGATCTGAGGCCGTCTTCCGGGGCCTTCTAGGATGCCCTGGAGGCCCGAAGAGAGCCCCAAGATACTTCTTCAAGACGTCCCCGAGAGGCCTTCGCGATGTCGTGCCTCGCCGCATTGGTGTGATATCGTCGGGGACCCTTCACAGGGACCCTTCGGGGCCCCGAGAGGGCTTCGAGATGCCCGCCCAAAGAGGTACAAGTGTGTGAACATATAGTGTGTCTTTTTGTTACCCCTTCTGGGAACATCTTCGGACTCTCCTGGGATCTCTCGCGGCTGTCTACGGGCATCCATCGGGCCCTCTCGTGGCTTCCCGCAGCCCTCTCGGGGGCTTGTACAGGTTCTCCTGGGCCTGCTTGGGGCTCTCTTGGGATTTTTGGGGCTTCGTTCAGGGGCAGGTGTGCGCGACCCGTTGTTTCTTCTACGGGGGGGGAGTGGTCGTAGGGTCAGATTTGGGCGACCAGGGGGCTGGGGGGACAGGCGCTTCTTGGCCGATGGGAGCGTTAGAGACTGGCGCCGCAGAGCATGGGAAAGAGGGGCAGGCCAAGAGGGAGGGGAGGGGGATGACAAATGCGAGGAAATGGGGGGTGTAGGGCCACGGCCGAGGAGGGAGATGGTCGCGTGAAGGGGGGGCCGTGGACGGAGGAAGAAGAGGATGGAGGGCGCCGCGAGGCCGCCAAATAATTACTCGACGCGGATATCCCTAGATGTGGATCTCATAGTGATGGCAAACTTCGGTAGAAAACACTGTCCTTGTCAATATCTGAGTGTCAGCGAATCCACGTGGAAAACGAAAGCGAGAGAGACGCCGACGACTAGGACGACTTTACATAGTTGCTTCCTCCTTCCGTGCTCCTCCTCCTCTTTGTCCTCCTCCTCTTTCTCCTCCTTTCCCTATGGACACCTGTCAGGAAAATCCATCCGTGAAGGCGAGAACGGGCCCGTGCAATACCTCCTGGCGCCCCCCCCCCCCTGGAAGTGCTGAAACCAGCGCCTCGCCTGAAACATCCTCGAAAACTGCTTCAAAAAAATGATGTTTAGCACCCGAACAGGCAAACCGCCTGAGACATCCCCCCAATCTGGGCGCAAACGGGCCCGTGCAATACCCCCTGGCGCACCCCCTTGGGAGTACTGACATCAACGCCTCGCCTGAGACATCCTCGGAAACTGCTCCGACAGAGACGGATGTTTGGCACCCAAACAAGCAAACCGCCTGAGGCATCCCACGAATCTGGGCGCAAACGGGCCTGTGATATACCCCCTGATGCCCCCCCCTGGGAGTACTGAAGCCAACGCCTCGCCTGAGACATCCTCGGAAACTGCTCCGAAAAAAAATGTTGGGCACCAGTAACCACCAAACCGCCTGAGGCATCCCACGAATCTGGGCGCGAACGGGCCTGTGACATACCGCCTGGCGCCCCCCCCCCTGGGAGTACTGAAACCAGCGCCTCGCCGGAGATATCCTCGGGAACTGCTCCGAACGAGAAGGATGTTGGGCACCCAAACAGGCAAACCGCCTGAGACATCCCCCCAATCTGGGCGCGAACAGGCCAGTGATACACTCCCTGGCGCCCCCTCTTGGAAGTGCTGAAACCAGCGCCTCGCCTGAGACATCCTCGGAAACTGCTCCGAACGAGAAGGATGTTGGGCACCCAAACAGGCAAACCGCCTGAGACATCCCCTCAATCTTGGCGCGAACGGGCCTGTGATATCCTCGGAAACTGCTCCGAAGGAGAAGGATGAGAAGGATGTTGGGCACCCAAACAAGCAAACCGCCTGAGACATCCCCCCAATGTGGGCGCAAACGGGCCTGTGATATACCCCCTGGTACCCCCCCCCCTTGGGAGTACTGAAACCAGCGCCTCGCCTGAGACATCCTCGGAGACTGCTCCGAAAGAGAAGGATGCTGGGCACCCAAAAGACAAAGACATCCCCCCAAATTTCAGCGCGAACGGGCCCGTGCAATACCCCCTGGCGCCCCTCCTTGGGAGTACTGAAGCCAGCGCCTCGCCTGAGACATCCTCGGAAACTGCTCCGAAAGAGAAGGATGCTGGGCACCCCAACAAGCAAACCTCCTAACACTTCCCCCCAATCTGGGCGCGAACGGGCCTGTGATATACCCACTGGCGCCCCCCCTGGGGAGTGCTGAAACCAGCGCCTCGCCTGAGACATCCTCGCAACGTGTGTGTGTGAGCCTGAGCGCGGAAATACCAGAAGTGTGATTGAGTCTGCATATGGGTGATCCCGAGCATGGGAAATCCGAGTATCAGGAATCTAAGAGCGAGTGCATCTGAGTATGAGGAAGTCTGAATCTGAGTGAGTCCACATTTGAGTGAGTCAGAGAATGATGACCTGAGGGTGGAAGGTGTGAGTGTGAGGTGTTCCGCGCGGGCTAAGTAATAACAATAACCCCATCATCAGGATATGGGGAACAGTACGTAGAGGAAGAGGGGGACGGAAGAGGAGCAAGGAACAATGACTGGGGGGGATGAAAAGCGGGAGAAGGAGGAAGAAGGGGAGGAAAAACTCGATAGGCACCAGTGGCAGGATTAGCAGGACAGAGAAAGAAAGTGGCGAGGAGGAGGAAGGAGGAGAGCGGAGTGAATCCTCGTGGGCTGTCCTGTCCAAGAGGGAGGGCCTGTCGTGTTTTGTCAGACGCGTAGAGCAAATTGACTATCAATTGCGCCAAACTGGAGGGTATTACAGCTAATGTTCGTTTTGATTTCAAGTTTTCAAGCCGTCGCCACGCTAGGGGAAAGAAAGCTATTGAGTTACGCAAACAGAGCAGGCATTTCCGACAAAAGAACACACGTTTGCGGGACTGGGGGCGGCCCGAGGACTGGGCCGCCCGAGGAGGGACTGGGGGCGGCCCGAAGAGGCCGAAAAGCAAACCTGCGTGAATAAATCTATTCGCGGCGCGAACAGATCGGTGCCTCGGGTGCTGTTTTGGCGGTGGTCTCCAGGGCCGCGTCTCCCCGGACGGGCCGGGCCCGGTCTCGCTGGACGGCGTTCTGCCCAAGCCATCCCACGATCGCCTCTG